ACTGCCCACATCCATTCAGGTACTGTTTCTGCTGATCCCAGGCTGCAGGCCTCACAGCTGGTCCCCCTTCTCCTCTTGCTGTCCCCTTATGACTGATGGCCCGACGCCCTGCTAAAGCCCCTCAGGGCCTCCCAGCTTCTGGGATCAGACCAGTGGTCTCATTGTGACCTGCAAGGCACATAGCAGGTGCTCAGTGAATGTCTGTTGCATGAACATGTAGGAGGCCCTGCGAGGCTGCCCCACCCCCACCCTCCTCCAGACTCGTCGGGCCCCACCGCCCTCCCGCTCGCTGTCCACACTGTGCCTTTACCCCTCCCGCTCGCTGTCCACGCCGAGCCCTCTGAGCCTCCGACAGCAGCACAGCTCCTCCCCCACCCTGCACACACTGTGCCCTCTGCCTGGAAAAGCCTCCCCCAGCCCACCCGCCCACACGCACCCATTTTGCCTGGTGATTCCGTTCTTCAAACCTCAGCTCAGCCGCAGTCTCATGTCCTGGGGGGAAGGGGCATTATCGGATATGCCCCTACCCCCGAATTAAATCTGCCCGTTTTTCACTTTTTAGCATTCTACACGTTTCCTTGCCACGGTGGCAGGTGGGCTCTCTGCTCCCCCTGCCTCCCGGAGCGGGGCACCTTCATTCCTTCATCCCCTCGTTCGGCGTGTTTGCTGAGTTCCCGTGTGCGGCCCAGACCCAGCTAGGTCGAGGGTCACAGTGGAGGTGGGCTCGAGCCAGAGGCCAGGCCTGCCTTTCGCATGCTTTTAGTCCTGTGTGTATGTGCATGTGTATGTGCATATGCATGTGTACGTGTGTGTGTGCGTGTACATGTGTGTGCGCGCGTGCGTGGTGGAGGGCATTGGTGTAACAGTCACTGGAATAACTGTAAATGCGCAAAAGGGAGCGCCCCAGGGAAGAAGCCACATCACGGAGCTTGGGTGTAGACCTGCTGGGGGACGTTAGGGAAGGAGGACTTCCTGAAGGAGGCGGCAGACCCAGCCCCTTCCAGGCCCAGCAGGAGGGGACAGGTGGGAGCTCAAGGAGGAACCGACATCCAGCCGAACCCCCTCACCACTGGCGGAGGAGCCATTCTGGAATTTTCTCCCTGTCCCCCACCTCCCAGGCCACCACGGTGGGGGGGTCCTCATCACCTTTGTGGTCGGATCCCACGTGGTTGTGACCTCCTTGGAGGTGGGGCGGGACTGGGTTACGCTCCCAAGCGTGGTTCCGGAACCCAGCACGGCGGCTGGGACGTGCTGGGACATGCAGGGAAAGTGTTCGCTCAGGGGGTGGGTGGCGGCGAGAATACCCACAAGGAGGCCGAGGACTGAGGGTTCAGAGGACACTGTCTTCTCGCCCGTGAGTCTCGTTCCCCGTCACGCGTTGCTGCGGCCACAGCTCGGCACCTGCCTTCCGCAAACACCGCCGGCCCACGGGAGAGTCGAACAGAATTTTCAGCCGATGCACGGTCAGCAGATGCGTCGGCTGGGGCCGCCCGGGGTCTGGAACGTGTCCCATAACCGCCAGCGGACGGTGACCTGCGTGATGAGGGCGTGTCGCATGTCCTGAGGGGTGGGGCATTATCGGATATACCCCTTTATGTTTAAAAGAAAGATGTGACAGTTCTTTCTAAAAGCCGGAGAAAACCCCAAGCAAAGCTCGCGGCGGGACGCGGAGCGGCAGGGCTCCCTCTTGTGGCTGGTGGGGACGCGACATGGGGCAGCCGCTTTGGGAGGCCGTGTGGCGGATTCTCACACAACGAAACGCTCTCTCGCCATAGGATCCAGCAGTCACGCCCATGGCATTTACCAAGGGAGCCAAAAACTTATGTCCACACAAAAACCCGCACGTGGGTGTCTACAGCAGCTCTGCTCATATTTGCCAAAACTTGGAAGCAACCAAGGCGTCCTCCGGTGGGTGACGGGTGAATAGACTGTGAGTCCATCCGGACAGCAGAACAGTATTCAGTGTTAACAGGAAATGAGCAATCAAATCATAAAAAGACGTAGAGGGACATTAATTACATATTACCAAGTGAAAGCAGCCAACTTGAAAAGGCCACACACTGTACGGCTCCAACCCTGTGACGTTCTGGGCAAGGCGAAACCGTGGAGACAGTGAAAAGGTCGGTGGTTGTCAGGGTGTGGCGGGGGAGGGGTGGCCAGGCAGAGCAGCGGATGTTGCGATGCTGTCATGGTGGACACGTGTCCTGATACACTTGTCCGAGCCCCTAGAAAGTACAACGCCAGGAGCGGGCCGTGCCGTAGGCTGCGGACTGGGCGATGACGACGTGTCAGTGCGGGTTCGTCAGCTATAACAAACATTCTGCCGGGGGCGGGGAGGCTGTTGGTAGTCAGGGTGCATGTCAGAAACCTCTGTACCTTCCCCTCAATTTCGCTGTGAACCTCAAACTGCTCTAAACAAAGTCCACTATACACGTGATAAATTTCAGAATAGACTTTTCAGTGTGTGCTTTTTATCGACCTGGATGAGGTTTTCCTTCGTGGCTTCCCGCACCCTTCCACCTGGTTCAGCTGGCCCCCCAGGACAGACGTCCGCTGCTGGAAAGGTCTGGTTCCTCACAGG